TAGAAGGTGGTGCACGTGATCTGTAAATGAGTACTGACACTGGATGTACTTAAAAGAAGTTGCCTTAATTCTCTTCTGCAGTATATATTAAAAAGAATTTGCTGTTACAACCTTTTGTAGCTTCAGCTTGAGTCACATTGTAAATCTTTTCCGAGGACATGCTTTAATTTTTCAGAGCTTTAGAATGAAACCAAAATAAATTTATCAAATCAATAAATTCAACCCTTAACAGGACAGTTGAATATAAAGGAGGAGGAACAGAGCAGTGGTATGGATATTCAGAAGATGAACAGGATGCTAGCATGCTCATTTAGGTTGCTAATGCCCTCTTCTCGTAGTGATGCTAAATTTGGTTGCAGTGTGCAATCAGTTTGCTGATTTATCCTGTTGCTTTAACACTGGTTAAACTAATTCACATCAGCACACATTCTTGTACAGTGTGAAGTATTTTTTTTCTCGATGTGTTAGTAGTTCGGAGTGTGTGCTAGAGGGCTCTTAATCTACCTGGTCAGGCTTCTTCAGTTAACTAGAAATTTTTCTTGGATGCAGTATTTATTGTATTTTAGCTGAGTGGTGCAGGTTTGTCACAATAATGCAATCTGTCTTCTAGATATTTTTGTTAGATACCACTTTTTAGCTTTTTTACTGAGTATGGATGTTGGGGTCGGACCTGAAAGTTCAGAGTTCTGGATTTGGAGAACCCTGAAAATCTGAGTGGGGAGATCCAAGAAGCCGTCCTTCCTGGTTTATTCGTCAGCTTAATAAGCACATACGCGGAAGTGAAACCTTTGAACCTGATATGGTAAATATTAAGCCATGTTGTACAAGTCTAGCTACTTCAGAGGCACTCTGTGCAGTCTGAACTCTGTTAGGCTTCCAAAGCAGACTTGTGCAGCTAGCAGAACTTCCTCTGGACTTGACTTTAACTTTAGATGGTTGAATTTCTCTAATTTCAGTCTGTCACTTTGTTCCGTTTGTGATAACAGATAATGCAGCTGCTAAGGTCCATAATTATAATTGTATTACTAATGTACAGCTTCATATTACAGCTCAGATGTCTAAAGGAAAAAACAGTTCTCTGCTTCAGTTGATGTATTGACCCCTCGCTGACTGCACTCAAAACAGTGCGTAGTCTACCATTGTAAACTCAAAATGTAATGTTCAAAGAAGTCTTCAGGAAATTAGAGCTGACTGTTTTGACCTTGATAATTTATTTCAATACAATTGCCAAGGTGATGCCCCTTACCAGTCATTTGCCAGGAATTTTATTTCAGCTTTGTCTAGAGCTTTATCGCAGGTTGTATTCATGCATGCCAGTGAGTGCAGTTAAATCGCTCTGAGCAGTTCCTGGTAGCTGGGCACCTGTTCCAGATGGCTGGTATGGGGCTAACTTGCATAACTTTGTTTTGAAGTTCAACCAAGCTTTTGAAACTCTTATGTTGTCTGTTCTATGTACACCTTCAAAACTGTAACTGTGTTTAAAAGTAAGCACCCTTCCCGCCCTGCAACCAAATTTCATATATTACTTACTTCCATTGTAATGAATACTTTTCTTTTTCCCTGTTTCATTAGCTAGATGTTGCAGTTGGCTTGGTTGGGAATTTTTAAACCTAAGCCAAGAGACTGGACATTTGCTTCAAGTTAACCCATCTCTATTAAATGGTTCCTGTCTTCCTCTCCTTCCTATCCCCTGCCTGCTGTGCTGGGAGTATTTCTATGATGAAGCATTATTTTGCCTTAAAATAACTTAGCCCATATGAAATGTTCCAGCATTTTGTTTTGAAACTTCTTAAAGCTTTGTCAAAAATCAAACTGCACTTAATCATTCAAGCATAACTAAATGGATTACTTACCTAATCTGGCATCTTCTATCATCTGGCAGTTTCTAACAGCATCATGAATCAGAAGTTTCTCTAAAGCTGCTACAGCCTTATTAACTATGTGTTTTCTAGGGGCATACTGGCATGTTGTGTATAGCATTCTGATGTTTTCTGTTACAGAGCATTTAACCTGTGAAGTGCTCTACAGTGCTGAAATTTGTATGTTGAGTTTTCATCAGAGGCTAATTTAGTAGTTTTCACTTCTGAAAAGATACACGCAAAAAGAATCTCAAGGAGCTTGGATACCAAAGCAGTTGAAAGGGATGAATGGAAGGTCACATATGTGTACTATTTTTCAGATGGTGCAACTTTTTCCTTAAACACTGCTTCTCACCCTTCTGTCATTACTGTTATTCAAGATGTAACATGGCTGATTTGGGAACACCTCCAGTCCTAATGAAATTATTCACCGCTTCTGAGAATTGGAGCTTAGTCAGGGTACCTACAAATAATTTTACATTTTGTAGGAAGAAAAAAAGCTGAAATACGGTATTGAATAAGTCATTAACTATTTAAACTTTAGAAGTTTCTGGACTACAGTGGGTGATGAAACGGGCTGCACTTGATCTAGAAGCAAAACCAGCTGCCTTTGCAATAGGAGTTTACTGGTAGTAGGGAGAATCAGATCTGAAAGGTGAACATGCTGTAACGAAATGAGATGCAGTTCTGCAATCTGGATCACATTCCTGATCTTAAATCTCCTTTGCCCTAATGTGAATTGGCCCTTCTCAGTGGTGATGGATAGCGTTCATTTTCATAACTGAAAATAACACTCTTCACGATTTAACCGTTTTCAGAAAAAGCTCTGCTTCCAGTCTGTGCTATTACAGTATCTTATCATGCTTAATGAGAAGTCAAAATTTCTAACCTGTGTTCAGCACACCCTGAAAATTATTTGGAAGCTAGCTATCGCTAATCAAGCAAGCAGATGCATCTTCTCATTCTTGGCAGAATTTCACTGATTTGCAAAACTTATCTCCCAGTCAATAGAAGGCAAAATTCTCTTAAAATAAAAACTTTGGACATATGTATAACTGTGTATTGCTCAAACAGTACCGTAAGAACTGAAATTCCCTTAATGCTGATGGTTTTCCTGCCGCCTCCTTTCCCTTTTTCCCATTTTAAGATTACAAAAATCTGTTGGGGGAGGGGTTCTGCACACTTGCCAAGTGCTTCACGCCCAAAGCGGTTTCTTAAAGAGGGAATAACAATCAAATCCCTGATTTAACAGGGATTATCTTTTTTTTATGGTTCTTATTCCCTTTATGTAAAATGATAATAACACTCCTGTGCATCAGAACAGTATTGTCTGGATAACTTGTGCAGACATGGTTAATGAAACAGAAGGCTGTAATCTGATGCATGTAAGAGCAAACTATTAGTCTATAGAAATGTTGTTTTTTTGTCCCCCTTGCTGCTATCTTCACTTTTACTCTTTCCTGAGAGGAGATCACTACGAAAGAAAGTAAATAAAGTCCAGATTTTTTTTTCTGTTAGAGGAGGCTAACTAGAAATGTAATGGAAAGTTAAACTTTCCTTTTGTGTGTTGAGTTAAATTGAGTGGCAAAGTCAAAACTGACAAAAGAGAACTTGCTTTGTAGTGGTTTAGCAGTGTGCATGTGGAATGCCATTGCCACATGCCCGTTGGTTGGACTTTGTCATATTGAGAGCTCAGAACACAAATGTTTGTGTGTGGTATGAATGCCAGGAGTTGGTAACTTCTTGCTCCCTAGATAAAACTTTGGAATATTTGGGAGCTCAGGGTGCAGGCTGACTGCTGCTCATTTTAAAAGGAAAAAATAGTAGGGGAGGGGATGAGATTTTTCCTTATTGTTATCTTACAGTGAGGTAAGATAGCTAGTAGCTATCTAGTAGCTGCTGGTACAAACCACTGCTGACAGATGCAGAATAGCTAGCTAAGTAGTCATTGGCCAATTAGATTGTTCTATCAGTGTGTAATACTTCTGTTTAAATAAATTAAATTTACATGATATCTCCTCATACATCCAAGTATGCAGCTATTTCTTCAACTCCCAGAGAGGAGGAAAAAAAACCCCAAAGAAATTATGCCAGCAGAAGTTTTTAACAAACTTAAAAACCTGGTCAACCTAGCAGTGAAGACAAGCCTTGTAGTACTCATAACTGAGTAAAATAATTTCATGTTGAACCTGAGCTCGGGAAAAGGTTACCCCTATTTCTTTGACTGTCTGCAGGGCTTGTTTCAAAAGGATGGTGGCAGGGAAGGTGGTTAGAAATTAGAAAAAGACTGCCTATTTCTTCTTAGGAACTGCTAGATCTGTTTTATGTCAGTTGGATAAGCAGGGAACTTTCATTTGTGTAAGATAAGCGTAAGGTAAGATAGCCTGTAAATGGAAAAATGTGTAACTGTCTGCAAAAAAATGGTGTAGTCTCACGTCTGTTAAGTGTCAGCATTGGCAAAGTTTTCTCACTGTCCGCCACTACATAAAGTAGAGCTGAATGGATCTATCCCTTACCCCAAAAAAGATGAGGGAACTGTGCAAGACACTTGCTATTAGTAAGTCTCATGCCGAAACACCTCCGTCAGTAAAGTTGCCCAGATGAGGATTACTGAATTGGAAAGAGTCTGGCAGCTTTTTCCTTTCTGTAAGTGTAAGGCTTTGTTCTTAAGTGTGGGTTTAACTACTGGCACAGAAGGAAGAAAGTGGAGAAATTGGGAATATTGTCTTTTGAAAATGGGTTTCTGAGTAGTTGATGATATTGTTAAATAGATGAACTGCTCGTGCATTTACTTAAATATTTCTTTCCAATAATCACAGAAGTGCTTAATTTCAGTCTTCAAACCTTTCAATCCCCACTGATCTTGAAAGCTGTAGTCGTGCAAGTCTAGCACTCAAGAAAAGAGCAGGTGCTGTGGAAACATGTTGATTGCTGAATGCAGAGGAAATTTACTTCAAAGAATATGGTGCTTCATCTTAAGCATAAGACTAGCACTTTATTAAGCCAGGTCCTCATGGCACTGAAATACTAGAAATATTTCCCTGACAAGTGTGTGGAACTCTCTGGCTTACTCAACACAGACATGCTGAGCTGCAGCTCTGTCTGGCACTTGTTCCCCTCCAGATCAATGCAACGGGTAGCATGAATGTCAGTGGAAGCTTTGAGTCAGACTTGGAGAATCCAGAGAACTTGAGGATAGAAAGGACTTTCCGGTTAATCCAGTGGGTGGTTTTATTTACTTTGATGTGGGAGTGTGCATCTGGTTTTTCTTAAAGGGATCATTCCATAATGCAATAGTTTTATTGGGAAGATTCCCTTATCATTCAGCCTCTGCCAGGTTTATTGTGGCACCACAAGATACACTTTCTACTTCTACTGTCATTTCTAACGCATTAATTTCTCACCATTTAGTGCTTCACTGTGACATACGTATTAAGCTATTTCCTAGTCTTGTGTTTCACTTAGGCTATTCATTTCCCTGTCAGACTCCTGCACTTGGCTTAAATGTTTCTGCACATTCAGGTGTCCTTACAAAGACACTATATTGAGACAAGACATCAAACTTGTTTACTGAGCTCCAGTGTTAAGTAATGAAATAATGCAATAAAGCAGAACTTACTGCTTAAACATGCTCTTTCTTGCAAGTGACAGTGTAAGACAAATTATCCTTTCATTTGCTGTGTGTTATGTTCCGTTTTTCTACTAATTGAAGAAATGGTACCTTCTATCAGGTGGGCTATCCTCCCCAGGTGAATTTGCCTTTGTTGCATGGAAAGGAATGTAAAAGAATGAAATGGTTGTCAGTGTCAAGTCCTGCAAGGCAATCTGTCTTAGCCTTGCTTATCTGGGATTAGAAATCCTGGCTAAAAGTACTGAGTGGTTCAGTTCAATTATTTCTTGTAGGAATTGTTTGTACTTTGATTATTTTTCCAGGTGATCTTTAAAAATGCAGACTTGCAATAACAAACTGTAGTTTCAAGAAGGCTAAACAGGAGTTTAATTGCCTTGTTTTAAGACCTTTTTGAGATATCCAACAGTACTGTGTGCATTGAAACTAAGAGTATACTTTAGACCTCAAACCTGAAACTGGTTTCATGTTACTACTTCAGGCATTCTTCTAACCTGGTAGTAATATATTGCCCAAATGGAAGTAATTAAAGCTTATGCTTTTTCCTGTTAAAATGCAACCTTGCTCCTCACATCAGAAGTGGTCTGTGAGGTAGGTATTGATGGAATAAAAGGCATGGATCTCTGCAAAGCTGCTCTTTTGGTGTCAGATTCTGCCATTTCAGAAAGACTCAAAACAAGGCTTTGCACTTAGCAACTCTATTTCATGACACTAGAGTTTCATTTGTTGCTATTTCAATATTGGTTTGAAAAAGATGTCCTGAAATCTGATGTGCAATATTCCTACTGGGATAATTTAGCCTGCCTTTCATTAGCAAAAGGTAGGGGTTTGGGGAGTTGTTTGTACCATTTTATTTATAAATGTATTTTCTTCTAATACTTCTGCATTCTTGGGACTTATAAATAAATACTGGTTGTTTTTTAATTAAAAATGTATTTATTTTTGAAATGCTGGCTCATGGCAAGCCAGTACTTGCAGTATGATCACAAAGAAGCCTGGGCTGTGCAGCCGCTTGGCTGGTTTGATAGATGGGATGTTCTCCTGGCTTTGGGAAGATGTTGTTTGCATGCTGAGGAATCATTGGGAAAGTTTTTTATTGTCAAACTTAGTGTTTGAGAGGGTTTTAAGATTTTTTTTTTTTTTTGTTATTTACTTATATTTTAAAATATATCTTGTTTTTTAAAGAAGTCTAGAGACAGCAGTATTGCCAAAGAAATTTCACTGGGATTGCACAATGTAGAATTTGGATCAATACTTTGTCCCAGTTGTATTTTTGGCGATACTTCATGTGCTAAGCACAACATTTTCAATCCTATACAGCGTACTTGTCTACGCCTGATGAGAATGAATTAAAATTTTGTAATCTTCAACTTGGAACAAGGCATTCTTAATGTTACATTGGGGTAATACAGTCATAAAACCAAGAGTGCCAGCAGTCAACACCACCTTTAAAATGGTATAGGAATTCAAAAATAAACTTAAAGAATTGTATTTATTCATTCTCTCACCTACTAGCCTTCTGAATTGCTTCAGCTGGCCATAGGTTGCCTTCAGGAATTGTAGGAAACACCATCTTACGCACAACAGCAATAGCCCCAAAGTCAGTGGATAAAAGATTGGCCTAGGAGCCAGGAATTCCTTATTCTGTATCTCCCGTTTGGTAGAACAGCATGCTTTGCTTTGTTGCTCGGACGACATGTTTGTCTGAAAGACAAGAGCTTTTCAAAATGCTCGCTGCATTGGCTTTCATAGTGGACTCTTCCACAGAGATTTTAACTGGTGAAGAGTTAGAGTACTGGAGAAGGGATATCTAGCTAAAATGTAATCTTAATGTTTTTAAATCTTAAACATCGGAAGATAACACATTGTCAATACAATTTTTCTATTTAAGAACTGGACTAAAAAATATCTGTGGGGTTGTGTGTGAATACACACACACACAAAATTAATCTTGTTCTTTTCACTCCTCTTTCTCTTTTTTGGTACCTCTGAAACTGAAAGCTATTGGCAGTGCTTTAAATCAACTGTAAAGCAAGAACTCTAAAACCTGTGGAGGAACTGAACCCTAAGTGTTTTTTTTTTCTGACATCTGATGCAGTTTCATAAAGTTATACATAAAAATTAATGCACAGGTTTTGCAGTCTCACTTGCGCACAAGATTGTTTTATTGCCACCTCTGTGGTATTTGAGTAGTGACTGTTTAACCCAGTTATGCTACTGCATATCAGAGCTGCCTTCATTATTCTCCTTGCGAAGAGTAGAAACGTTTCCCTTGACCAGGAGTTTTCCTGGCCTCAGGCGCTCTGGCTGGCTGAGGCACCAACACAGGGACCTTCTGGATATGGTGGAGGGCAGTCTGGAGAGCTGTGAAACTTTTTATTTAAGTTGGCCGTGTTTGTGTGTGCCAAACTCTTGAGCAAGGAGTGCTGTGTTAGGTAGATAGGTGGCACGGAAACCTGGCTGATAGCCTGTGAAGGAGCACTATTACAAGGCTCTGTGCATAAAATAGAAAAAATAGTTGAAGTACAGTTTCTTCCATCTCTTCGCTTAAGACTGAATTAGAACTGTCTTTCCATTTTGCCCTCTATTTTTGAGGAAGAGATGGGTGGGATTCATTTTACAGCTATGGTACAACTCCTCGAAGAAGCCACCAGTGCAGGGGAGGACCTTGCCAAAGGCACCCTGGACTGTCACCATCAACTGTCCAGTCCCTTCAGTCTGGACCTGCTAGAAGCCTTTATGAGTTGAAGGCAATGCTGACACTCTTTAAATGAGATAGCCAACTATGAAGCTATTTCTACAAATAATTAGATCAAGTGTCATCTTTTGCAGTTGGCAGATTGGCTGGCTAAGGAACTGCCTTCCTGTCTTTCCCTCTGTCCTTCAGTGATAGATGATCCTGGTCGTTATTAATTGGTATATTTAACAGAAGTATACATATGTATATGTAGTATCAACATCTAGATACGAATTGTTAACTGCTGCCTCTTGATGGTGAGCAAATGCAAATTGGTTTGGGGTGATTAATTTGTTCTCATTTGTTCTCATGCATAATGTGACTATCAGATAAGTAACTTTTAAAATCGGTAATATTTACAGTATTGTAGTATTTATCAAGAAGCTGAAACAAATGCACTGCTTTAAAGAACACTTGATTTCTAGCTTTGGGGATGTGTTCCCTTTCTGCTCAAACTTCATTCAAAGGGCTGATCGTTACTGCCTGATGTGGACATCAACTTAATGCTGGAATAGGACAGCTGTTGAGTAGTGAAGTCTGTGCTATTTGTCAAAAGCTGTTAGACATGTGATGGCTGTCGCGCCTAGATAGCTCCCTTGAAGAAAAAATGTGGAGATGTTTGCATTTTGCTGGTTTACTTCTGTAAGATAAATTAGTATCGCTGTAGACTGAGTGTTGCGAAATTAAAAATAATGTCTGTTCTCTTCTCTTCCAGACTATCATTTTACTCTGGCCATTCTTCATTCTCCATGTACTGCATGCTCTTCCTAGCAGTAAGTATGCTCTTTCCATCTAAATAGCAACAAAAAGTCTGTTAGTTACCTACTACAAAAATTGAAATATTTACTTGGCTCCTTTGCACAAGGGACATTGCTTTTGCAGGATGCCTGTCTGAGATAATTGAAGATTTCTCAGTAGGAGTTGTAAGGGAATGCCACTGGTACTGGGACAAGAAGAGAATTATGTTCAATATGCCTAAAAAGACTTAATATGGTAGTAGGCATGCGTGTCTTGTCTAAAATGAACCTGGTGACAAGTGGGTTTGGAAAATGCACTGCTACTTAAATACAGATATATTGAAAGTATTGCAAGTCATATAAAAATATATAAGGTATGTCTGACTTCACAGAACATGCAAAGTCTATTTAAAAAAATAAACAAAACCCTTAAACCCTGATCAAATGTGGGTGGGCCCACAAAACAGCAGATTGAGTTCCATTTTTAAATTCCTTTTAATTTTCTTCTAGGGGAAGGGAGGGAGAGTGAGGGAAGCGAGGGGACAGATCTGTCTGTGGAGGTAAATACTAATGGTAAGGTCAGTTCACTAATGCTTCCACTGGAGTCTAACATACTTCAGTTCAAATTGTTCCAAGTCAGCTAGGGTAAATTATCTTCACTCCTAGGATAGTAACACTGAAACATTGATTTGGTTGCTCTCCCCCTGCTAATTTGTAACACAGACGGTATTAAACAACTTTCTGCAATTTTGTTGTTAATGCAGTTGTAAAATTAAGCTCTAGTCCTCAATATAAATTGCTAGCATAATACATACATGCCAGGATCTTCACAGAGCTCAGATTCAATTTGCCTTCTCATCTTGATTGCATTTTTAATTTTGCCTTTGTCTCTTGGCAATAGTATAACATCCACAGTGAGTGGACAGATTATTCAAACTCAACTAAAAACCCTACAACCACATACAGAAAGGGGTGGTTCTTCTGTATGACTTAGGTCTTTTTAAACTTTGTTTTAAAATAAAGCTTATTCAGAAGCTCAGTGTTCAGTTTGGATCTGTCATTGCAGTTTGTTTATGGCTAAACCTGTTTAGTTTCTCTTACCTCTCTTACCTATTTATCTAATGTAAATACAAAGAGTTCTTAAAAGTATTATGTCCTGGGTTTGACTAGAATATAGTGGAACTTCCTATCTGTCAGCTATTTAAAAAAAAAAAAAAGTGTCTTTACTTGCTCGTTATGACTGACAGTCTCCAAAATTAGATAGGTCTACTTGTGATATGATTCCAAAAACAAAACCACTATTTTCATAGTACAGTGGACCATTTACTGCTATTTAGCAACATAATAGTGATTTTTGCTCCACTGGGTTCAGCCATACCCTTCGGATCCAACTTCTCTGTGTATGGTTTTGCTGAGCAATGGGAGAATGTGATACCGCCTCGTCTCAGAAGCACAAACTTGGAGACAAGAAGAGTCTTGCTAGGTGTGTGGCAATGTATATGGTTTATAATTTCTACTGACTGGATTACAGATATGTGGCAGGGATCTGAATGTGCCTGAACTTTTACCTCTGTCAGATGTACATGTAAGGAGAGTCCTGCTTGCTGCAGCCTGGGGAAATGGTGGTGGTCAGGAGGACTTCTCAGCTGGTGCAGGCTGAGAGAATCAAGTTGCTGTTTTCAAACCTTCTATCTGTAAATTAAAACCTGTGTTTGCCCTGGCTGCCTGTCCACTCCCCAACAGTGCTTGCTGTGATGCTGAGGCCATCTTCAGTTGACTACAATATACTGGAAGGTTAAAAGAAAAAAAGGAAAAGAAAGGTCAATTTTTTTTAATCTCAGCAGCTGCAAAGATGTGTTTTGCATGAAAGAGTCTCACTAAACTTGAGACCAGAAGGAACTGCAACCTACTACAGCCATTCCCAAAAACTGATCTGTCGGTCAGCTCAGACTACCATTTAGTGATAAAGTAAAAATGAAACCTGAAGACTGTACGAGTGCTAGCAAGTGCCAAAGCGAATCTGCACTACCTCTTAGCCAGGAAAATGAACTTAGGACACCACTTATGACAACCTGAAGTAATAAAATAATGAACATGAAGACTTCAAAGAAACAGTAGCTAGAGTACAGGTAAAAAACCAAAACAAACAGAAGATCTGAGCCCAATGAAGAGGTGTGACACGTAAGGGTTTGTCTAGCCTGAAGCCAGCTGTTTGCACAGAGTGCAATGCAGGTTTTTGATCCCACCACAAGAGTGAAAAATATGACTGCTTCTATATGAGGATGCATTGAATCAGAACCATGTCTAATCTGTCCAAATGCTTGTTAATTTTTATAACCTAATATAAATATGCCTCCCCTTCTCCCAGCATTTGTCTGCACTCAAGGCAAATGCAAATATAAACCAGATGAATCATGTGTCAGCAGCAGGTCCCTACAGTAGTTTCAAGACTTCTTTTACACCAATTTACCCACCTTTCTGGCTTAACTTTGTAGCTGAGTTGTCTTGTTTACAGCAAAAATGAGTATGGCAGTATTTCTTGGCAATAGTGCAGATGTACCCGAAAGGACAAAGCCCATTTGAGTCCCCTTTTAAGTATGCATTGTTCAGATTGGTGCAGGAAGCTCGTAACTAGCTTAAACAGACTGCAGCACCTAGACAGAACAAGAAAAAAGAGAAGTAATCACTAACTTTTAAAATTCCTGTTATCTTTTGATTCTCCACAACTTTCACTTTACTTCATTTTTGTCTCTTATGTGCTAAGACACTCTTAAATTTGTTTCTGTAACTCGTGAACGTGCATAGAAACTTTTGCAGGTCAAGATGACCCTATGTAAAACAGTCTTTTCTAGCATTCATTCCACTATTTTTTTCAACGAGGATAGCAATTTATCTCCAAAAAATTGTAATGATTCTACTCCTCATAGTAAGAAATGTCCTATAAAAAAAAGTCAGTGGCTGAACTGCACACATCTGATTGTATCATTAGGAATACTCAAGAGAAATGCAACAGGAAAATAGAGTACTGCACAAGTTAATATTACCATGACAATAATAATGATAATAAGAAAAAAAACTGTTAATGAGCAGGGGACTTCCTTAGTAATAATCAGCAAAATATATGCATATTCTGCATATTTTATGGACTGATTTTGCCAAATTGATACGTTGACTGTTTTGTATGCCATGATGATTAACAATACACAGATTTACAATACACAGATTTACAAATGCCATCATTAAGAGCTGAAAATGTAAATTTAGCTGTCAGTTAAAATATTTTATTGGGAGATGCGGCGTGTTGCTATGAAAATGTTCACATCGTGTTTACAGCCCTTATATGAAAAATAATCTTCCTCATGGTAGCTGGAACTTGTAAGATATTTTCAATGCAGAAGGAACGTTACTGTAAATGGATACCTCTCTGCCTTAAAAACATTAAACAACATGAAAGCTTGATGAATACATAGAGTTTAGGAGAGCTCAGATTTGTCCCCGCGTGGAGGAGCTGGGGCCTGCTAAGGCCAACAGCACCCTGGTCTGCATTAGGAGTAGTGTCACCAGCAGGTCAAGGGAGATGATCCTTCCTCTCTACTTGGCAGTGGTGAGACATGTCTGGACTGTTGTGTCCAGCTCTGGGCTCCCCAGTACTAAAAAGGTAATGGACTTACTGGAGCACGTCCAGCACAAGGCCACAATGATGGTGAAGGCACTGGAGCCTCTTCAGTATGAGGAATGGCAGAGAGAGCGGGGGCTGTCCAGCCTAGCGAAGAGAAGGTTCAGGAGGATCTTATCGATGTGTACAAATACTGGATGGGAGAAAGTAAAGGCAACTGTGCTTTTCTCAGTGGCATCCAGTAACAGGATGAGAGACAATGGTCACAAATAAAAATACAGTAAATTCCACTTAAATGTGAGCAAAACTTTTTTTCTGTGAAGATGGTCAAACGTGCTCAGCCTAGAGAGGCTGTAGATCCTCCATCCTTGGAGATGTTCAAAATCTGTCTGGACACGGCTCTGGGCAACCTGCTCAAGTTTACCCTGCTTTGAGGTGGGAGACTTGGACAAGATGACCTACAGTGGTCCCTTCCAGCCTCAACAGTTGTAAAACATGCTGAACAGCTTGGACTACAGACCTTGTTTGTTTAACCTACTAGGATTTGAAAAAATGCAGCCTCTGGCAAGAAAGTCAAGAATTCTTTATTTTGAAAGTACTGACTTCGTGTGGGTTGAATAATGCTTTCTGTAGTTGCCTGTGGCATGGTTGCTTTAATCCATGAAAGGAGCTTGTGTGGAAAGTGCCTGAACAGGCAACTGTGAAACTTGCCTGTCCTGGGGCTTTGTGTGTGTGTGAGCTTCACTCTTAGCAACCTTCTGCGTGGGGGAGAGGTGGACAGTGGAAGTCAACTGTCCTGGTGGTCATTCAGTTCTGTAGTAACTGCAAGACAACATGGCTTTACTTAGCTTGCTTAAACAAGAAGGGTATGAATGTCTTTAACAAATATCCAGTCAAGAGTTAAACAGCAAATGTTTTATTAGAGATCAGTTATTCAGTGAACTTGTCAATGAGTAGCCAGAGCCCTGGCTGGAGGAGAAGGCATTCTTTATCTATTCCTGCACCCCAGTTTCTTGTCTTGTCTCTGGCTGAGCTATTGCCCAGTACAAGTAAGAGGCTTTGTGGAGATTAGTCTTCTACTTTCTTCTGTCCTGTAATAAGATTATTCATTCAGAAATCGTTGGGAGGCCTTCATTGGAACATCTGAGGAAGGTTAATGACTCATGTGCAGGATGTTTTTACCTTGCTGATTAACACAGCATTGCTGCATAGCAATCTTTGCATTGAACGTGGTCCTTTTTTTTTTTAAATGAAAGCGAGAAAGTACAGATGTCTTCAAGGAGATGGCTACTGCGGGAAGGTGAGGAAAACGGCTTTCTAACCCTCCCCTTGCCCACGTGGCAAGGCAGAACCAAACCTGCGGCACTTGCCAACCTGTTCGTTAACTGAACGCCGATGCTGGCTCTATACGCTCTTTGCG